ACAAGGAATGTCTCCTAAATGTGCACTGTTTAGATATTCACTATTTAGGCAGCCGGTGACGTCACTGGCGTTTGTGCACTGAATGGACAGCATACTGAGTATGCAGCCCATTCAAAGCACGGTGCAGCAATTTTGGCATGCGTGGGACTGACGTCATCGCGGCTCGGCCATTCAAATGGTCGGAGCCTGCAAACCTAGAAGGAACACTGGTGAAGATGGAAGCCCTGTCTGCAGTAACAGCCTACCGCTGCAGAGCTTCGTTTTAAGGTAAGTCTTTCTAAATCCTCATGTACACTGCATGTTTTGATAATGCTGGTAATGTTAGCTGTGTAGTCACGTTAAAAATGTGTTTTTTTCAGCGTTTTTGCATTAGCGTTTGGTGGCAATTCCCGTGTTTTTTAGCGTTTTTTTTTTTTTTAAACCACCCCCAATTATTTTTTGGTCAAAAAAAGTCCAAAAGCGCCCAAGGGGTTAATCCTCTGCATTGTGTAAAAAGGGTGTTTGATCCTGTCTTCTCTGATCCTCCTATTCTTTTAATGTCCCCAATCCATCTGTCACAGTACAGAGCAGCAGTGCCAAGTCTGCATATGCTCTGTTTGGTGTGTATTGCTAGAGTTTTTTTTTTTTGGGGGGGGGGGGGACAGGGTCAATCAGCACTGTCAGTAGAGAGGATCGAGGATCATTCAGCATCATAGGACAGTCAGAGGAGAATGAAATCTCCTCCTCTTAGATTAACCAGTGCTCGGCCAGACACTAATAGAAGTCACAAGACTCTAACTGCTGATGAGAAAAGGTATTTAGCAGTTTATATTTACTAAAATAATTGCATTTCCATGTTCTGTGTACTGTGGGAGACCAGATAGAGTGGATGCAGTGTCCTGGGTTTGGTAACACTCTTGGTAGCAGAGTGAATCTGTCTGGGAATGGTTTTACAATTATCAATCAGCAGCTGCACCTGCAGGGTTCTAATGAGGAAATTGGCAAGGTCTGCATCCCTTTAGCCGTGATTTCCCTTGGGGAGCATCTCACCAAAAAATTCAATTTTTGTTGTAGGGGATGCTTATAATCTGACTTGTATCTTAGTGCAGGTTTCTGGGAAAGTCAGTAAGCCAATCACAAAACCAGGAAATTACATTCTCGGGGGGGGCCACCTGTGTACATAAACACCTCCAGGTAGCCATATTGCATTGCATTTTACAGAAAATTACAGCGCTGCAGATTGAAAAGGAAAGGTAATTTTTAATAACATTCAATAACATGACTTGAGTCACAATTATATTCGCTATATTTTTTATTTTTTTTTTATTTGATATTTTTTTTCTCCACAAAAGTAGAGTTACCCTTTAAGTAAGACAATCACTGGGCAAACACCCACACACACACGTTAATGAAACCGTGGTAGCTGGTGATGGTTCTGAGTCTGGCTTTTTTTTTTTTACAGTTTAGTTACACCATAAGCCAAAGTAGATGTAAATTCTAACTGGATTACATTTTGTTTGATGAAGCACCGTGCCATAAATATTGGCATTTTTTTTTAAAATAAAATATTTGCTTTCACCTTTTGTTCATCTATTCTATCATCTCAGTGCTGTTGATATCCTGCATGCACTGCATGGAGTTTCTCAGGGCAGGTTTCCTAATGGTGACTACAGTGGACCATGCTGGTGCAATATGTATGCATACAACCATTTGTAGTCTCTATTATTACCTTAACCTCCCTGCCGGTAATCCCGAGTGTGCCTCGGGGCTCATTTTCAGTACCAAAAGCAGTAACCTCGAACCACACTCGGGATTACACTGTAGTGTAATTCACCTTGGCCTGCGATCCCGCGATGCCCTCCGGCCGATGCTAGCATCTGTCTTCTGGGTTCCCTTCCCTGCGAGCATCGTGACGCAGGGGGCGGAGCTAGCAGGAGATTCAAAATAGTAAAAACATGACATACACACAATACATTGTAATCTGTTAGGATTACATCACTGTATCAAACCATTTCACCTCAGTTTTGTCCCTACTGCTTTGTCCTGTGTCCTGCCTGCACTTTTACCATTCTTTCTGCCTGGAAACTTGAGAACGTCCATGGCATCCAAAAAGCGCCCCTTTAGGTTAAAAGCAGTTTTAGACCAGCTAGAAAACAGCGATAGCAAATTAAAATCACTTGCAGAATTGAGTGATAGTGATTCGTGGGGAAATTCGTCATCAGACACTGAAAGTGACGACAGTGACGATTCTGCGACTGAGCTCAGTGATGTGCGAACTTGGCGCTCTATTTCAAATTTCAATGTTTTTGGTTTGATTACATTATTGAATTAAATTTATTATTATAGTATTTTTTCTAATTATTTCTAATTATGTATTATATTATAATTTCATGTTTCGAACTTTAATCATACCTGGGATGTTTACTAGACTCTTGTTTGGACAGATTTAGGTGAGTTATTCCTAAGAATTACAGGCCTACAATATAAAACAACAAATTTCCATGTAAAACAATGTACCGCTTTGACATTCAAAATATTGACATAATCATACCATCAGGGAGGTTAATGCATAGTGACATTTTCTAGATATTGAACATGAATTTTGAAATACATCAACAACGTTTCTATTAAATGTTAGTGATTTGGTTTATGTGTACTTTAAAAATGCTTCCAACATATCATATCGGTCAAAGGGGAACCTTCCGCAACCTGTTCGATGAAGGTCCAAAATATTCTGTCTTCATATTTTCAGGAGAGTTTTTTTTGTCTGCCAAGAGACCCCAGTGCTAAGCCTGGGATGTGTTGCACAGCTTAGCCTAAAAAAAAAAAAAAGTCTAATTTCCCTAGAAATTTTTAATTGTAACATAGAAACATAGATGAATAATGGCAGAAAAAAAGAGCCAAAGAGGTCCATTGAACCTGCACCATTTCTTTTTGCCGGAGTATAGATGTTTGTTCCAAGCATGTTTGAATCTACTTACTGTTGTCTGTCTCACTACCTCTGTTGGAAGTCTATTGAACTTTCCTCCGGTTTGTATGAGGTCATGTCCCCCCGTGTTCTTGATCTTAGCCTTATATTGAAAATACTGCTCTTCTGAACCTTATTTGTGCCCTTGATGTATTTAAAGTGGATCTTCACCCAAAAGGGGATGTTTCGAATTCCTGCCCCACTCCTGTTTGTGAAATGGCACTTTTGGGGAGGAGGAGGGGGAGCTGGTACCTGATTTTGACAGGTACTCGCTCCCACTTTCGCTCCAACTGCCTACACGTTTGGAAGCAGAAGATCTCCTCGTGACAGGTGCTGTAAGACTGAAAGACCATTCACAATGTGCAATGTGTGGCTCGCGCATGCACAGTGGGCACCTGGCTGTGAAGCCACAAGCTGTCACAGCCAGGAGCCAATAGTTAAGATGCCGGCACCAGGGACAGACAACAGGAGGTGAAAACAGCTGGGGTGAGCTCATCGCTGGATCATGGGACAGGTGACTGGCTGCTCATTAAAAGTCAGCAGCTTTTTGCTTATAATTTTTACACAAGAGACTGGAGCTCCTCTTTAAAGTTTTTTACTCATGTCTCCCCTTTCCATTCTTTCTTCCAGGCGGTACATAATAAGTTCCTAAAGTCTTTCCTGATATGTTTTATCCCTTCACCATTCTTATCAATATATTTTTGTAAGCGAGGTCTTTAGAACTGGGTCCATTTTCTAAATTAAGTCTTTCTGTACAGGGTTATCAGGACCTCTTTCTTCCTGCTGGTGATCCCTCCAGTGATAACTAAAGATCTAAACAGGAGAATATCAGGACCTCCTTCTTTCTACTGGTGATCCCTCTAATGATGCACCCCAGCATTCCTTTTCCCACAGCCAGACCACACCGTTTGCTATTTTTGTAATCATCTGAAATAAGGACCCCCACATTTTTTCCTTTGTATTTCTGGCCAAATGTACCTCCAATATTGTCCTCTATGACGGAATTATTTTTTCCCTAGGTGCATTATTTTGTGTCTAGAAACTCTGAACTGCAGTTGCCACCGATTTGACCAATCTAACATCAATGCCAAATCATGTTTCATGTTACAAACACCTCCAGGAATATCAACGCTATTGTACACCTTTGTGTCATTAACAAAAAGACATACCTTAGCCATCAAAACTTCAGTCTTTACTTTTAAAAATGTTAAATAGAACAGGACTTAGCACAAAGCCTTGTGAACTAATTTAAAATGGACTTAAAACAGATACAAAAAAGTGATGAGGAGGCAAATGGCATTTTCATTTGTATAAAGCCTAAGGACTGTGATTTGCCCATTAAGAGTTGTTTGTGGTTAAAGAGATCTATTTATTTGTATTCCTTATGTATTTAAACACCTGAATAACTGCTATTTTGTAGTGTTCACTACTTGACACCACCAAAAATATATAAGAAATACAGTAAATACAAAACATTTTAAGAAAAAAAAAAAACTATATTTACTAGACGTATACTTAATATCTGGTTTTTATTTTTACAAAACATATATATAAATAGCTGCAGTAAATAAAAGTATCAAGAGTAATATTTTTCGGATGGTCAATTATTTTTATATATAAAGAGCAGTAATTTCTGCTAGCTATGGTAAGAGTATGGTGAGTCTCCCAAAAGTGTAATTTCACATGATTATTATTATATATCTTTTTATTATATTAAAAATTGTCTGTACTGCACATAGCAGCCAAAAAAATTCATGTTGTAATACTTTAATGCAGATAAAATGGTGAATTGCAGATCGTGGATAGTTTTGATGGCAACACACTATTTACACTCGAGGCACAAAGATGTTCTTGTCAGTGGTAAACAATATCACACAATGCATGTGTACCTCCCATTGCAGATCTTCAGTTGTCATGTTGTCCTTCTGGAATGAAAGCTTGTCAGCTGTCTGATGCTTTTCTTTTAATTTATGATATGGTGTTAATTATTAATGATCACTGAGAAGTCCATGTAAAACCTTGCTGGTCATCTGTATAGGAGCTGTTTCTGCCTCTAAAACATAGGTTTTAATTTCTTCTTTTTTGCCTTCATAACAGGGGGTAAAGAGATCTTAAATGCTGTCCTGTTCAGAGGAAAACGTTTTTTATTAATGTAAGAGACCAAAAATTGTAAGCCATGACATTATTCAAATATGCTTTAAAAATGGGAAGAAGTAAAGTATGTAATACTCACTCGCAAGTGGTACAGATGGGGCTAAAGTTGCAGAATACTAAAAAAGAAACAATAAAGGCTGTGGTCACTGGAAAATGTTCAACAGTGGATTATAAGGCACATGTCTAAAAATACTCTACATCAACTTTATCAACAGTCAGCCATATGTTTAATAGTGCATTGTAGAGAAGCAGTAAACATAGGGTACAGTTCTGAAACCTGATAAGTAGGAAAAAGATACTGTAGATGCAAAGCAATATATCAGATGTTAACAGTTTTCAGGTAACATAATCATCCCAAGATTTCATTTTCCATTTTGACTGGGGTGTTTCATTAGGGTAAATATTACAAGGATTCCCCCCCCTCCCCCCCCCCCCCCAAAAAAAAAAAAAAAATATATATATATATATACACATTTTTTTTTTTCCTCTACCTCTCATGTGTGTAGGTAAATCTAAGGTGTAATAGGCATTTATTTACATATGTGTGACCTAGCTTTGCATATGGTGGGAAGGTTTACCTTTATATATATATTTTTTTTTTTTTTAAACCTTCCCACCATATGCAAAGTTAGGACACACATATGTAAATAAATGCCTGTTACACCTTAGCTTTCCCACAAACGAGAGGTAGCTTTAAATGCCTGGTTACACTAGCTTTCCCACACACAGAAAGTGATTTCTGAAGGATGGAGAAAATTTAGAGCCTTCATTTTAGTTTAACTCTGAATTGATGGGCTGTAACAGTTGGCTAATGTAATACATAGATAATATATATATTATTGTAACATATACAGAGCTAATGTAATATATATTATGGTGGGCTCCACTGCACTCAAATGTTCAACATCCTAAGAAGCCTTTTATCGAATATCTCAGGATGCTAAAAGCTGCCTGCCCTACCTCTCTCCAAACCACTGTAGTTTGGCAAATTTCAAGTGTCAGTGCTGTACTTGTGGTTGCACAGTGCAGGCATTTTAAGCATAGAGCATAACTCAGCTCACCACTGCAGTGATGACAGGGGAGTTCTCTGAATTTATGCTGAATAGAGTTTATACGCTGTTTATGTAATATTTTATATCCATACATAATGCAAATATTTTTTGGTTAACATTTTTTGTTTTTCCATTCTAATAAAAAAAAAAAGTTACAGTAGATGCAACCTAGATTCAGCCTTGCTCTGTATGAAGCCATCTAATAGGAGACAAGTCACTTGTGTGTAGGTTTCAGTTTAAGCTACTAAGCTTAAACTCTCTTTTTTTAATAACAGGGTGGTAAAGAGATAAAAGAAAACATGAAAACGAGTCAAAAGCTCCACCTGCTAGTTGAAAATGACTATATGTACTGTATATAAGCAGCATAAAACAATATTTTTGTTTCCTAATGTAATGCTCTTACTCTAGACCATTGTTTTAAAACCATGTCTACTCACAGAAGGCATTACAGTAAAATGATCATAAGCAATAAAGTGTCAATAATTGATTGCAAGTATATTAATATCTATGTTGGACGATAAGTATACTCACTAGATAAACAGACAGAACAAACATAGCCAATTTCAATCAGGTTCCGATGGCAGAAACATGCAGCACGGTAATCCACATGAACTGGAGGGGGCAGGTTCAGCTGAGTCCTTTGATCTGGATCTGGAAGGAAAACCCACTGTTCCACAGAGAAAACAATGTTGTGTAAAGAACATTTAAAAAATACATATCTGAAGTACAAAATACATGCTTACTATCTGCAACAAGCAGTTGTAAACAATAGGCCGCATTTTAAATATATCTACACCTTACCAACAAATACTGCAACAGTGAGTTAACTTGAGGTATCTTCAGATATATTCCCCCTGTTATGTCACAAGCCTGTGAACATGTGAAACAATATACAGATATTCAGAATTCAAAATTGAATATATGAAACATTTTCCTCATACAAAAGCAATGTATATCCAAGAAGAGAAATACTGAACCAACAAGTGCTTTTGAAACAGAACTCTCTGATTCTCAAGTAAAAAATTGATCTTGAGCCTGGGTTCAATACTGATGCGGTCCGGAATTTGCAGCGTTTTCGATGCAAATTCTGCACCGCATCAGAATCGCACCCCGTTCATGCGAACTGCTGCAAGTGTGTATGTTAAGTTAACAACACCCCGAAAGCGGTCTGGAAAATGCGGTGTGATGTGCAGAATCGGTACGCATAGGTGTGAATACCCATGTACTCCAATTCTAGTGCGGACCCAAAAAAGGGTCCTGCACCTTTTTGGTGTAGATGCGGTGTGATTTGAGCCATACATAATGTATTGCTCAAATCGCACTGCACACAATTCGCATTTGATTTGCACAGGAATGTGGTGCGGTTCTTGTGCGAATCACATGCGATATACCGCACCGCATGAGTGTGAGCCTAGCCTGAAGAACACCACTTAGAAGCTAGGTGTCTCATTTCACATCAAAATCATCCTACTGTTAAAACAGATAGCTGTATGGAGAAATGTTGGTCACTGCAGATTTGGTTGGTGAGTGCTAGAGGAATGCACCAATTGTCTCACATTTCATCACTATCCATAAAAGATCTGACTGCAAAATGATAACTGTATTCATTAGAATAGATAACAGTAGGGGGGGAAATATATATACACTGTTCTTAGTTTATCCATATTCTCCACTAAACATTTAGATCTTTCACTAGCCCAGGGTTCCTCAAAGTGGTCAATATTGACCCCCAAGAGTCATAGGACTTCCCAAGGTGTCAAAGGGGTTTATCTACTAAAGCTGGAGAGTCCAAAATCAGACTCCCTTCTGCATAGAAACCAATCAGCTTCTCACCTCAGCTTGTTCAATGAAGCTTTGGCAATGAAACCTGGAAGCTGATTGGTTTCTATGCAGAAGGGAGTCTGATTTTGGACTGTCCAGCTTTAGTAAATAAATCCCAAAATGTCTAGGGCCATAAGAAGTCCAAGTAATTTTTGGGGGCTAAATAGGTGATCACTTAATGATAGAAGGTCACCTAGAGTCAACTGACATCTTTTGAGGCCTCTATAAGGCTTGATACCAGTCCCTAGTCCTGAAGGTGAGGTAGTTAGCAGTGAGACAGTGTTACAAGGGTTGAATAGTCAGCCATCAACAAGAGTGCCTTTGGTTTACCTTGGTGCTGTATGCCTGGGACCTCCCACCCTTCCACTTACGGGAAGGATATACAGTACATGTAGTATTCCTACAACATTAATGGTGCAAACTGAGATGCAAAGTAATACTCTTCCTTTATTAAAATTACATGTTTTATGCTAGGCACACAACTTTCTTTGAGCAAGTGCTGTATCTAGCGTGACACATGTCAGAACAGAACCTTTTCCTGCTGGAACAGGAATTAATAAAAGAAGAATAATCTTTTGCATCTTGTTGTGCAGCCACAGGTTATAAAATCTAGGCATGCAGATTGCTTCTACAAACATTTGTGAAAAAAAATGGGTCGCTCCCAGGAGCTTAGTAAATTAAAACATGGTACCACGATAGGTTCTTTGCTGCTAAATATTCCCCGGTCAATTGTTAGTGATATAACAACAAAGTGGAAGCAACTGGAAACAACAGCAACTCAGCCAGGAAGTGGTAGGTCACATACAATGACAGAGTGGGGTCAACGCATGCTGAAGCGCACAGTGCACAGAAGTCACCAACTGTCTGCAGAGTCAATAGCTAAAGACCTCGGAACTTCATGTGGCCTTCAGATTAGCACAACAACAGTGCATAGAGAGCTTCATGGAATGGGTTTCCATGGCCGAGCAACTGCATCCAAGCCTTACATCACCACGTGCAAAGCAAAGAGTCAGATGCAGTGGTGTAAAGCACACTGCCACTGGACTCCAGAGCAGTGGAGACACGTTCTCTGGAGTGACCAATCACACTTCTCTGTCTGGCAATCCAATGGACATGTCTGGGTTTCGTGGTTGCCAGGAGAACGGTACTAGCCTGACTGCACTGTGCCAAGTGTAAAGTTTGGTGAAGGGGGGATTATGGTGTGGGGTTGTTTTTCAGGGGTTGGGCTTGGCCCCTTTGTTCCAGTGAAAGGAACTTCTGCCATGTCAGTAGTGTAGTCAAAGGCTCCAGCCTCTAATGTCTACTCTGAAAAGCTATACCTGTAGGAAGCTATAAGCACATAAACGGGGACATTATTGGATTACTCCCCTACCTGCTGTAAAAGTCCTGATTCTGTGTCCAGTACACATGCATCAATGAGAATGTTCTGGAGGAAAACAAGGAAAGCATTCATTTAATCAGCTTTATCCAAACAATTGGAGACTTACAGTTGTACTCAAAAGTTTATGTATCCTGGCAGAAATCATTACATTTTGACATTGATATTGAAAATACGACTTTTCATGCCAAAAAACTGTCTTTTTAATAGTGATGATATTAAGCCATTTATAATCACATAGCTGTTTGGCTCCTTTCTAAATCACAATGATAACAGAAATCACCCAAATGGCCATGATCAAAAGTTTCCATACCCTGGATGTTTGGCCTTGGTACAGACTCACAAAGTGACCCACACAGGTTAAAATGGCAATTAAAAGGTTAATTTCCCACATCTGTGGCATTTTTAAATTAGTAAAATAGTCATATATTACCAATTGTCCAAGGGTATGCAAACGTTTGAGCACAACTGTATAATTACGAAGTAGAATTACCTGTTTTTGTGCAGCAAATATGACATTCTAAAGTTCATATATTGTAGAGCACTATCTTCTGCTGCTTTAATGACCTACAATATATTAACAAGCAAAAAAAAAAAACTGTCCTGTTAGAGGATGCTCTGAAAACCAGTAATAGACCAATAAAGTTGACCAAGTCCATTGTCTCACCAGTATCCTGGATTTCACTTCTTGTCCAGCTGTGCATAATATAGAGATATACAGATATTAGTCTGTGCACTGAGAAGCCATGGAAACCTTACTTAAACTTAGAACAGATGTGTTGAAAATGATGTACCTGTGGTTTCTTTATTTATATTCGGTTAATGTCTGGGCAATAATGATCAGGAAAAGGTTTAGGTATTGGAAAAAATAATACACATATTAATAAATAGGTATGCCATATGTGAAGATAACTGCAGAAACCATGTATCTAGTTTGGACTGAATCAAGTTAATCTGTTACTAAACCTACAACAGTAAAATCAGTCTGTATATTTATTTTATTTATTTCAGGTACTTATATAGCGCCGTCAATTTACATAGCGCTTTACATATATGTTGTACATTCACATCAGTCCCTAACCCTCAAGGGGCGTACAATATGCAGTAAAGAAAGCTTAATATACTCATTGTGGAACCTAAGGGGTTCATCCTCTGAATTGTGTAAAAAGGCCGTTTGATCATTTCTTCTCTGCCCCTCCTCAAATTCAAATGTCCACGTCTTATCTTCTGATAAGACAGACTGAACCCGTAGCTAGTCTGCACATGTTCAGTTTAGTGTGTCGTGATGGAGAGGTTTTTTTTCTTGGGAGGGTGCATGTGAACAGCACAGGGCCAAGGGGTTTTGCATCCTGCTAAAGCAGAAATAAAAGCTTACAAGCTTTAACCAGTGCTCTGCTGAAGTCACAAGACTCTAACTGCTGACGAGAAAAGGTATTTAGCAGTTTTATATTTACTAAAATAATTGCCCTTCCATGCTCTGTGTACTCTGGGGGACCAGATATAGTGAATGCAGGGTCCTGGGTTTAGTAACACTTTAAGGTCTATTTTCCTTAAATGTTTTTGTCCCCATGGGGGGAGAATTTCCCTCCATTCCTGTAATGAGGTGGTCTTTATCCTCCTACATAAAAGTTCACAGGCTTTCAGAATTCACAGACATGTGGATAAGATGTGCATTTCTCCTGCTTCAAGCAGATTTTCCATTCCCATAAACCTGTATTGGAATGCCAAACCCATCTGAAGCAAACAAAAATCCATCAACGCAGGCCCTTAAAGTGCATGCCAAGACAAAAGAAAAAAAAAAAATCCATCTACAGAACATCTCTCAAACACATGCACATTTCCCCATGTTTTATCCCTTTAACCACTTGTCCTCCTGAGGAATTACCCCCCTTCCTGACCAGTCCATTTTTTGCATTACGGCGCTTCGTTACTTTAACCTCCCTAGCGGTCTGATTATGTCCATATTTCTGTGCTCAAAGCGGTACATTTTTTTGCATGGAAATATGTATTTTTTTTATTGTAGGCCTGTAATTTTTAGGAATAACTCACTGAAATCTGTCCGAACAAGAGTCTAGTAAACATCCCGGGTATGATAAAACTTGAAACACGAAATCATAAATTATAATTTAATAAATAATCATAAAAAATAATAATATAATAATAATAAATTTAATTCAATAATATAATCAAACCAAAAACACTGACATCTGAAATATAGCGCCAAGTTCGCACATCACTGAGCAAAGTTGCAAAATCATTTTCAGTGTCTGATGATGAATTTCCCCACAAATCATTATCACTCAATTCTGCAAGTGGTTCTGATTTACTATCGCTGTTCTCTAGCTGGTCTAAAATTGCTTTTGACCTAAAGGGATGCTTTTTGGACGCCATGGATGTTTCTCAGTTTCCAAACAGAAAGAACAGTAAAAATGCAGGCAGGGCACAGGACAAAGCACTCGGGACAAAATGTATGTGAAATGGTTTGATACAGTAATGTTTTGCTATGTGATTTTAGTGAATGTCACTTTTTGTCATTTTCAAATTTCCCGCCGTTCTGTCCCCCATACATTCCGACGCTCGCAGGGAACGGAACCCAGATGACAGATGCCGGCACCCGCCGGATTACATTGCCGGGGACACGGCAGGAGGGACATCGCGGGAGCGCAGGACAAGGTAAGCGATCGAGGGATCGTGGAGCAGCGCCGCATTGGTAAGCCCGAGTGTAACTCGGGTTTACCGCTTGTGGTACTAAAACTTTACCCCAAGCTACACTCGGGAATACCGCCAGGGAGGCTACCTGACAATTGCACGTTCATGCAACACTGCACCTAAATGAAATGTACGTCCTTTTTTTTTCCCACGAATTGAGTATTTGGTATTTGATCGCCTGTGTGTTTTTTATTTTTTTGCACTATAAATAAAAAGACCGACAACTTTGAGAAAAAAAACAACATTTTTGACTTTTTGCTATTAAACATGTCCAGTGAAAAAATATTAAAAATAAAATTTTGTCATAAATTTACACCAAAATGTATTTTGCGACATGTCTTTGCTAAAAAAAAAATTACAATACGTGTAAATTAATTGGTTTACTTGAAAGTTATAGCGTTTACAAATGGTGGAATATATACTGGAATTTTTTTTTTTTCCATTTTATTTTTACTATGTAATAGCGGCAATCAACAACTTATAGTGGGACTGCGGCGGACATTCTGACATTGGGGGAACTGACTTGGTGTCACTGACATCCCCAGTGACACCAATACAGCAATTAGTGCTAAAAAAAAAAAAAAGCATTGACACTGTACTAATGGCACTGGGCAGGAAGGGGTTAACATGATGGGCGATCAAAGTGTTAACTGTGTGCAGGGAGTGTTTTACTAGGGGGCAGTGTCAGTGTGCTTCACTGTAATCACACTCCTCTAGATGACTGTGCCGTGCACAGCCATCCAGAGCAGTGTGCCCGAGCTGACAGGGAGGAGAACTGTTAGTAAACAGTTCTCCTCCCCATCTGAGATCTTCGGAAATCACCGAGCTCCGGCGAGTAATTACCGGCCAGGACCTGGTGATTGACAGTCACGAATGGCGGCTCGGCTAGGACTCAAGCGCGCCCCCTACCCAGAAATGCGAAATCACGTATATATACGTGATTTTGTGCACCCGTGCCTCCCTGTAGCAGTATTTTTGCTATAAGGCGGACAGGAAGCAGTTAAAGACCTTGCAAGTACAGAAAAATAGCCGTTGATCTTCCAGAAATGCACTCCTAAGTCCTGTTGTGAGCCAACACACAGCATTTTTAGCCCTGCCCGGTGTCTTTTGCTAAACTACTCAGCTACTCCCAATCTCAGATCTCAAGACATGGTTTAATCATTCTGAAGTCTAGAAAATAATAATAGGTCCATTCTGCAGTCTAGGATAACAACTAGGGGGATCAAGACTCTTTGCGATAACACAGGAAATATCAACAGGACTCTGGACAGCTCTAAATTTCTAACATCAACACTTTTTGCACTTAAACAGATATAACAAAATGTTTTTCAATGGTGTATTTAACAGGCCAAAATGGAGCAAACAGCAGAATTTCACTGTTAGGGTTCACCGACATTTTAAGGTAGCCATTTTCAAAACAGGTTTTCATGGAACCCTAGGGTTCCTCCAGATTTTCCCAGGGGTTCCTTGAACTGTGACTGATTGAACTCCCATTTGATGGTACTTGCATAGTTCCAGGGTCAACACCACTTGGCATAACCAACTGCATGGTTATAAAAACTACATTTTTTTAGCTGGCTATAAGAATAGTATTATCATCTCTGTAAGGGGACATTCTTTCCACTGGCCAACAATATAAAGTACAGATTTCATACTGACCTCCAATCAATTGATAATAAAAAGGATACAGCAAAGAGCTTTTGCTAAAGATCCTGCCAACATAGTATCTGTGCGCTGTCCTTTCACTTCAGTTCCTGCAAAAAGTAAGATTTTAGACAGGTTAGAATGATGCTTGCAAATATTTTTTTGTGCTATTGCCCTCCCAAATTACCTTCCTTTTCAAAGGAGTATGAGAAGTGCCAAAATAAAGAAAAAATATTTTTGTACAATGGGGGAAGTTCAGAACCTTTGCCAGGTATTTATTACTATCCTATGTTCAATATTTCTACTTCACTGTGCTCAAAAGGGACAGACGTGATGGGAAATCTACCCAACAATCAGCAATAAAAACTTCTAAACCATCCTCATCTATGCAAATCTCTGAAGAAGGTATATATGTCCTAATTTTTATCAATCTCTATCTGTTTGCACCTGGATCAAGTAATATCTTTACCACACTGGAGAAGGCAGTCTTACATATTACTCCACTCATAGCAAACATTTTAAGGGTCCTTTAACGTCTATGCATTTGCATATCAAACGCTTCAGTAAGCATTCATTTTCAATGGCACCCCCACATACTAAGGCAATGCAAGTGCATTGCAGCATACCACAATGCATGGTAATATACTACTAGTTTGAAGCACTGAAAATAAGGTGCAGGTGTTTTTCTTTTTTGTTTGTTCTACTGCAATTAGGGCCCATTCAAATGAATGGGCTGCCTTAAAGCACAGCATGTTAATGCAAATGTGTTAACTCAATGCACCAAAATGGAATGCATTAAGAGAGTCTTTTGTCACAAAGTGACAACTGCTGAGTCTATTTAGTTTACTTTATTACATGTAAACTTTTTACAACACATCCTGCTATCATAGTAATAACATGGTCTGACATCCATTAATTTATGCTATGTCTCCCTTTTATCATCTCTGGCTCATTTCTCAGGTTTAATAAAATTTTATGAAAAGCAAAATGCAAGCACTCACACAAAATATTAAGGTAACGTGTTTTAAAACTACATTCTATGGGGCAAATGAAGGATATAGACATCCAAATTGCAGTATTAATTCCTCTACCTGTGGTGTCCTGACAGCGAATGCTGAGAGGAACTACTGATTAAGGCACCAGCTGGCCCTTCCTGTTATGAGACTTTGGAACCTGGAAATATTTCAACCTGAACAAAGGGAACCAAGCCACCTCCTTTCTGTACCGAGGAGGGGTCCTGAAGGACAATGTAGCAGAGAACCCTACATACTGCTCCCAGGGGAGCCAGGCAGGTAAAGGGGTGGGATGAAAACAAAAAAGATAGCCAGAGAAAGAGAGGCCTCCCTCACCCAGGTTCCAGTCAGTACATCTCTTCAAGCCAAAAAAAACACATAAAAACTGACGAGCTCAGCAGAAAGGCTTCCTTTTAAAGTGAATTTGATGATGTGTTTCCTGTTAGAGGAGGTAGCTATATCTCATACGCTGTCTTGGAAGATAATTTGTGGAATACCGGTTTGCCTCTTGATGAACTAGCAGCTACAGAATGCTAGATACCTGAAGATTACACATTTGCCATATTTTCTTTTGGTACTTCTTACCTTTGGTCATTAGATCTTTGATATCTTCAGCAATCATGTCATTGGCTGCTGTCAGTAATTCATATTTGCCATCCTTGCTTCCAGATACATTTGATTCCAAAATGGAGGACTCCCCAGACAAGTCTCCACTCTTCCACTGCTTGCCTGGGAAAAGGAGGCGACTACAAAACAGGGAGAAATACTGTCTAAATAATACTGTAACACTTCCTAAGCTAATTGTTTTCACGTTTTTTTTCTGTCTTGGTGTTTACAAAGGAATAATAACCTACCCTCTGCCTCTGTGTGACAATAATAACCTTCTCTCTGCCTCCATGTGACAATAATAACCTTCTCTCTGCCTCCATGTAACCTTCCCTCAGTCTCCATGTGACAATAATAACCTTCTCTCTGCCTCCATGTAACCTTCCCTCTGCCACTGTGTGACAATAATAACCTCTCTGCCTCCATGTGACAATAATAACCTTCCCTCTGCCTCCATGTGACAATAATAACCTGCCCTCTGCCTCCATGTAACCTTCCCTCAGCCTCCATGTGACAATAATAACCTTCTCTCTGCCTCCATGTAACCTTCTCTCTGCCACTGTGTGACAATAATAACCTTCCCTCTGCCTCCATGTGACAATAATAACCTTCCCTCTGCCTCCATGTGACAATAATAACCTTCCCTCTCTCCATGTGACAATAATAACCTCCTCTCTGCCTCCATGTAACCTTCACTCTGCCTCCATGTGACAATAGTAACCTTCCCTCTGCCTCCATGTAACGTTCCCTCTGCCTCCATGTGACAGTGCTTAAGCCAAATACTGCAACATGGAGGTGCCAAACACTGCATCATGGAAGAAATGGGAAAAGTCATATGCTCCCACATTACTGGAAATACCAGGCAGCTCGGAGAGGTCAGAAGGGTGTCTTGCCAAAAGAACAGGCAAATTGGCAGGTAAACTCCCACTGGACACTTGTACCATAAGCTTTTAATAAATGTCATGTGTAGGTACAAGGAATATCTCCTAACCATGCACCCTTTAGCATGGCAGTCACTGGTGCATGCACTCTGAAGGAATGACATGCCATACTGTTCCTTCACAGCTCTGTGCCATGGCTGAGACTCCCTTGCACATGCCTGGGAGTGACATCCTCGTGGCTCGGCCAATCAAGCTTCCAGAGCCCGTGAACCCGGAAGGATTACCAAGTGAAGATAGAAGCCCTGTCAGCAGTAACAGGGCGCAGCTGGAGGGCTTTGTTCTAAGGTAAGTCTTTCATAATGTGCTAGTACACAATGCATACGAGCACGTTATGACATTACCTTGGAGGGAGAAGATTTTCTTTTATTAATTCACGTTTCCTACCACTTTAAGGTGATATTAAATCCCCAGTTTTCATAAGCACTTTCAACAGCTGATTTAATTACTGAGTACACAAATTCTTTATGTTTAAATCCTTGCCTATGTTTCAGTTTACACTGGTGTCATAACGCTCCCCAAGTTTCATGTGTCTCCCTATACTGTGTGCATAAATCGAAACACACCACCCCATAGTCAGGATGGCAAGGAACTCTCCTGCTCCTCCTCCTGCATTTTAACAGACAGATTTAGACTGCATTGTCCACTGTTAATGCTTTTCTTTGAAGACTAGAAGTTCAGGGAAGTAGCACTGAGAGAGCAGGAGCCAACAGCACTGATAATTGTAAACTGCAAGTGCGAGGTAAGAATTTTAACACATAGTTTACTGGAGAATGTGTATTTTATCTTTCTCAATGTGTAAAATTAAAAATGCTGAGGGTTTAATACCACCTTAATTAAGATAAACTGCAGTATTCTACAATAACATGCTGTTGTTAAGCTTTCATTACTCTGATATCTCTGAACTGAAAGCAGGAAAAATCTGAATGCTTGTAATGAAATGAAACTCCCATACCTTTCTTGTAAATGACTGGCAATTACAGCAAGTTTGTTGTTACGACCCATAAATAAATGGGAATTGCCCATCACCATGACTGCATCCATGCATTTTGGAAGTGTTACCTATTGCAAAAGATATAAATGTTGGCTGAGAATACTCATATTTCAGGACCTCTTACCACACATTTCTACATACTTACAGCTGACTGATTGAGTGCCTGTTTTCCCCACCATATAGGGTTTGCATCCACAACAATTGCTAAAAGATTAACTTCATCATCTATAAAGAAAAATTGAAAACAATGGTTAAATATTTACACATAAGAATTAAAGACAGTGTTCAATTTATTTACAACACAATGAATTCTTCTTTAAAGCAGCACTCCAGACAAAACTTTTTTTTACCATTTGACATAATAGGGAGAAAGTAGATCCTCTATTTTAAACAGTGCCCATGTCTCTAAGAGGGAAATTTCCCATAATGTCATGTCAAAATTACAGGTGTCATTGTCAGGACAAATATTTCAGTGTGGACAGCTGCCCTGCATCTAGAGAGTGACCTTTTTGCCCATTCTTCTTTGCAAAATAGCTGAAGCTCTGTCTTGAATGTTTCTCCAGATTGAATGGAGAGCATTTGTGAACAGCAATTTTCAAGTCTTGCCACAGATTCTCAATTGGATTTAGGTCTGGACTTTGACTGAGCCATTCTAACACATAAATATGCTTTGATCTAAACCATTCCATTGTAGCTCTGGCTGTATATTTAAGGTCGTTGTCCTGCTGGCAGCTGAACCTCTGCCCCAGTCTCAAGTCTTTTGCAGACTCTAACAGGTTTTTTTTTCCTACGACTGCCCTGTATTTGGCTCCATCCATCTTCTCATCAACTCTCACCAGCTTCCCTGTCCCTGCTGAAGAAAAGCATCCCCAAAACACACTGCTGCCACCACCATGTTTCACGGTGGGGATGGTGTGTTCAGGGTGATGTGCAGTGTTAGTTTTCTGCCTCACATAGCGTTTTGCTTTTAGGCCAAAAAGTTCAATTTTGGTCTTATCTGACCAGAGCACCTTCTTCCACATGTTTGCAGTGTCCCCCACATGACTTCTCACAAACTGAAAACAAGACTTCTTATGGCTTTCTATCAACAATGGCTTTCTTCTTGCCACTCTTCCATAAAGGCCAGATTTATGGAGTGCACGACTAATAGTTGTCCTGTGGACAGATTCTCCCACCTGAGCTGTGGATCTCTGCAGCTCCTCCAGAGTTACCATGGGTCTCTTGGCTGCTTCTCTGATTAATGCTCTCCTTGCCCAGCCTGTCAGTTTAGGTGGACAGCCATGTCTTGGTAGGTTTGCAGTTTGCCATACTCTTTCCATTTTCGGATGATGCTGAACAGTGCTACGTCAGATGTTCAAAACTTGGGATATTTTTTTATAACCTAAACCTGCTTTAAACTTCTCCACAACTTTATCCCTGACTTGTCTGGCCTTCATGATGCTGTTTGTTCACTAACGTTCTCTAACAAACCTCTGAGGGCTTCAAAGAAGAGCTGTATTTCTACTGAGATTAAATTACACACAGGTGGACTCTATTTACTAATTAGATGACTTCTGAAGGCAATTGGTTCCACTAGATTTTAGTTAGGGGTATCAGGGTAAAGGGGGCTGAATACAAATGCACGCCACACTTTTCAGGTATTTATTCGTAAAAAATGTTGAAAACCATTTATCATTTTCCTTCCACTTTACAATTATGTGTTACTTTGTGTTGGTCTATCACATAAAATCCCAATAAAATACATTTATGTTTTTGGTTGTAACATAAAAAATGTGGAACATTTCAAGAGGTATGAACACTTTTTCAAGGCACTGTACTTTAGGGACATTTCCCCTCACATCCTCTTATCTTACTAGATTAGGGAGTGAAGAGGTAATTCCCCAACTGGGGACACTGACAAATAGATGGCTGATTAGTTCAAACATCCCTCCCAAGTTTACCAAGCTTGCTGGAATACTTGCTAAATAGTGCCATCTAGAGGAAACGGAAAAGTAGGCAGCTCTTTAGCCACACAATCTGAAAATCAATCCTGATGTACTGACAGCCAGGCTCATTTCTTGAGGCCTTAGAATGCCAGGATAGTACAAATATCCCTCAAATGTTCCTTTTTTGGAAAGCAGAAAGTCTGAGGTATTTATTAAGAGGCATGGGAAGTTTTTTGAAGTTGTAATTTTTTGTCACAATATTTTGGAAAATTAAGAAATTAAATTTGCTGTTTTCGCAATTTTTTTTTTTATACATACTGTCAACAGTGCAGTACAGCGTCATTATATGACTGGTGAGGCAGTGATCAGGGAAACTGACTGGTGACAGTATGTTATTATAAATAAACTAAAAAAAATATTTAAATAGTTTAATGATTCAGTATTTTTATTTTTTTTTTTATTAACTTTTTTTTTCATACTTTCATAGTACTATATTACTCTGGGGGGTGATCATGGATTTTTTCTTACACTCTGATTGCTGTTACAGTGATCATCAGCAATTCTTTGAACTGTCATGAATGAGTTTCATCCATAACAGCTATGATTACTAGTAGGGATGCACGGAAATTCCAATGGCCGAAACGTTTCGGCCGAAAACACCCCTTTCAGCCGTCGGCTGAAATGAAAAAAAGCACCGATACAGGTGCCGAAAAAACCCACCCCTCGCCGCCCACCCCTCCCTGCTCGCCGTCGCCCATCGCTGCTGCCACTCAGCCTTACCTGAGAAACCATCGAACGATCCTGGCGCTGGGCATACAGATGAGTGAAGGAAAGATGGCCTCCACTCATCTCTATGCCCTTTGAGGACTGGAGCGATGTCACTTCTGATTCCGGGCAATTTTTTTTTTTAAAGCACTAGATCAATTCTTTTTTTTATCCAATGCTTTACATTGCAGAGGAGAGATATGGGGTCTTATTGACCCCATATCTCTCCATAAAGAGGACATGTCACTAATTATTTCTATCACAAGGGATGCATGCATTTCTTGTGATAAGAATAAAAGTGATTACATTTTTTTTTTTAAAGGGACAGTGAAAAAAACAAACAAAAAAAATCCCACTAAATACATTTTTTTTTTAAAGTTTAAAGTGCCCCTGTCCCCCCTCGCACATAGTGGTGAACACATACATAGGCCACGCCCACATATGTAAATGGTGTTCAAACCACACACGTGAGGTATCGCCACGAACGTCAGAGCAAGAGCAATATTTTTTTGTAACTTTACACTGCTAACCTGTAGAAATTTTTAAAGCATCACCCACAGAGATTTTTAAGTACTGCAGTCTCACGCCATTCCACGAGTGTGCGCAATTTTAAATCGTGACATGTTGGATATCTATTTACTTGCCGTAACATCATCTTTCATATTTTACAAATAAATTGGGGTATATATTGGTTTTTTTTTTGTTTTTTCTTCATCAAAAATTTTTTTTTCAAAAAAAATATATATCCATTTTTTAAAACTGTGCATTTGGTTTTCGGCCAAGTGCATTTTGAATTTTTGTTTTCGGCACCAGAATTTTCATTTCGGTGCATCACTACCGAGAATGTCATTTCCTGCTTGTGTTATAGGTTTACTGATTTTCCCAGAAATCTGCACTAAGATAAAAGTCAGATTTTTGGCATCCCCTGCAACAAAATTTAAATTTTTGGTGAGGTACTACCTATGGAAAATCACGTTTAAAGGGATGCAGTCCCTGCCACTTTCCTCATTAGAGCCGTGCAGGTGCAGCAGCTGATTAATAACTATATAATCACTCCCATACAGATTCACTCTGCACATGGACACAGACAAACAAAATATTTATTCAGAATAACAAAAGGTAGGAATCTGCAACAAAGTTTGTTAAAATCCCTGCAATGTACAAAGATCACCCAGAGGGAAAGTTTTTTTCTCAACAAAAGTGGAGTTACTCTTTAAGCTGGCCATACATTATACGATTTTCTTATTCCACTTCATTTAGATTTACCTTCAATTATGTTGTGTAAGGGCCTGCCTGGCTACATACACATTGAAAGTGTTTAGGTCTGACCTCATATATGATTTTGGTAAATCTAAAGAACATTGTACAAGAAAATTGTATAATATATAGCCAGCCATGGGGTTCAATGACCAACAGTCAGTGGTAGTTTGGATTGACCAAAATCAGGCTGAAGCTGGTGGAATCTGCCAGAACATTGTCCTGTGTATGGCCAGCATGCCAGATGTGTCAGAGGATAGCATCTACTCAGCAGTCCTCCATGATTAGTAGTAGTGTTGGGCTGTATGTTCGAGTCGAACGTAAGTTCGACTCCAGCATTGGCCATTCGTGTGGTTAGTGAACACGTGAATGGCTATCGCCCGCCAAGCCCCACAGTGCACTGTGCCCAGACATTGCATTGTGATTGGCCAAAGCATAGCACCTGACCTCAGATCAGGTGCATTGCTTTGGCCCATCACATCGCATGATGACATCAGAAGGGTGGGGGGGGGTGGGGGGGTGGGTGACCCTGCCCTCTTGTGACGTCATCTATTTAAGAACGGTCATCCCGATGCAATCGTCAGATGGCAGGAGCCAGCGTTGAGAGCGAGGTGGGGTTCTTTTTTTTGGGTCGGCGGTTGGCATTGTGATTGATGTTGGATCTACTTCAGGGGACATTTTTTTTATTTTTTTTTTTTTATTGAAGGACTTGTCAAAGACCGCTCCTGTCATCTTTACACTACACTTTTTTTTTTTTGTGAATGGGTAGCGGTACCATGTACCCCACTTTCATCCACATGGGGGGGGGGGCGGAATCTGGGGCCCCCAGATTCTAATAAGACCTGCAGACCCTTGCCCCAAAGCACCCCCTCCCCATGTTGAGGGCATGTGGCCTGGTATGGCTCGGGGAGGGGGGCGCTACAGCACTGACAGATGAAACAATAGAGAATGTTTTTAGTATCTGAGCGGTATGTTACTGCATACTCACATATAGTAAGATACCGCTTAGTGGATTGTCCCCTCTGTTCGCAGGTCACGGTCGAACTTTCGTTATGTTTAAATGTTCGACCCGTGAACTGAACAAGGGGGGGGGGGGGGGGGGGGGTAATGGGCCCATCGCTAATTAGCAGCAGAGATCTTGTGACTCTCCCTGTCAGTGTTCTCCATACACCAGACCCCTCCCCCCCGTGTGTGTGTAATGTACACAGACCAGACCCCCCTCCCCTCCTAAATACATGTCAGCCGCCCCCTCCTGTGATATTACCAACATGTACGTGTA